CCACCATCGCATGGATCGATCGGTGACTATGCACTTGGAGGTTGGAATAGCCCGCGCTGAACAGATCTTGCCATGGCCCAGGGAGTGAACTCGCTTACTCGACTATCCCGGTTTTAGTTAACCAGCATGAGTGGTGCAATTTGTCCATACCATGTTGCGAGCTCACAGTTGTTTGGGCAGGTTTTGAGCTGCACCACGAAACAAAGCGAAATAACGGCGTGACTGTAGAGCAAGGAAGCGGCGAGACGGCACTTCCAGGACGAGACAGGCAGTAGAGATGTGTTCACAGCACGAGCAACCTCTCAGACCCTGCCGGTACTCCACAGTTACAAGAAAATGTCGGACTGGACGACGCGCCAATGCAAACCTGCTACATCCACCCAGGCAGATAGCTGCCAAACCAGGCCAATGTCGACCCACTGCATACCGGTATGTCAATGTCAAACAGATCCTGCAGGAGAAGACTGGGATGATATTGGCGTCCAGTGTACGGACACCAGTCACATTTCCTGCGTCTTTTGCAGCATACAGGATAGACTCATCACTGTAAAGTCCACTACTTCGTGATTTTTATTTGTAGAATACATGACAGGCGTATTCAGTGTGCCTCGCAGGACTGCGAGATGCTGCAGAAGACCAGTTTCGACCTTTCTGGACCGCCATTCACCGACGGTGGGCTACACGATGCTGGAGGAACTAGATTCCAGTGAAAACCCAAGATTCCTTTGCTCCTGGACGCTCCGACGTGTTGTGATATCTGCCAGGTGCGCAGTAACTAGTATTTTCATCGCTATAGCGAGGACGACGCCGATCGGCAAACTCTCGCTCTCAGCCATCACCAGCCTCTCAAAACCATCACTTGGCATCCCCCAGAGGTATAGGAGAAAGCCAAAACAGCTCTCAACAAACAAAAGCTAAGGACGATGGAAAGAGAGCATGTCAAAAAGAAGACGAACAGTATGAAGTTCAAATGGGTTTGAACACTCGTTCCACCAACTATACCCCTTTCAATAAATCGTGACGCCATTTTGTTTTAACACGCATACGGTCCACTGTCTTCATGTAAACGCTCACCTCTTTTGTCTATCGTACAGACTTTCAACCCGGGCTGAACTCGACAAGGGTTGAAATTTCTCATGTAAACACAGCCTATGCTGTGCTGCGACGGCAGAACTTCACATCACGTAACATGGTTCAAAAGGTTATGCTGGCAAACAGTGCAAAGTGACCACAAGAGAGTTGTACCCAAAGCTGGGCTGCGTACAACCCTGTATCTATCATGCACAGAGTGCAAATAATGTGTACGGGTTCGTCACGTGATGTGAAGTTCTGCCGTCGCAGAGTCACTATCGCAGACCCCATGCATACAGTCCATCCTCAAGCGTTCCATCGAGACTTACACTGATTTTTGCGATCTTTTTCTTGAGAACGATTCTCACCCTGAAATGACTTTCGGCGACTGACGTGAAAGAACACTCATGACACCCACCTCGTCGAATGGAGCATGCATTGTTTGTGGTGTATGGGTGCAGGAAGGTGGTATGTTCGCGAGGTGCATATCGAAAATGATCCGAAAGACTTTGTGATGGTGCCATTCGGCGGAGAACATTTGAATTTTTCGTACGATTCAGAGCAGTCGGCGAAAACGAGCCAGTAACCTGAAAGGAGGGCGTGAACAGGTGTAATTTTCGACAATGTGGTTGCCCTCGACCCTGCTCTCGGACATTCGAGTAATGGTTATGGCAGAATCGATGGTGCTCCAGGTTTTTCAGACGCATTTCTTGACCATACTCAATTCCGTAGATAAACCTGTGCACAGAAAGCACACAAGAGTTCAAACTAACTCCACTGTATTCAGTTCACGTGTTTTCCACAGATCCAAAACCCTCCTGGGACCAGGAAAGTGGACACTACGCTGGAGTATAGACGTGCACACTGCGAACATGCCCACGCGCCACTCCTGCACACCCGTGTCGGACATCACATACTGGCCATGTCACGGTGCCGCAGACGTAATGGGCGTGCCCCACACGCTTGCGTTACACACGTTTAGATCCTACATGCACATATGGAGCACAAACATGTCAAACATGCGTGCCGCGGATGCACACACATTGTTCGTACATGCCGGATACACTTCGCATACATCACATGTGTGTGCCACACCGTCGGAGGAATACAAACGAGCACGGATGCGCACACATAAGAGTACCTCACCAACAAAGCCTAGCCAGGTACGCACTCGGTTTCCCTATCAACAATAATTTCTGGCTAGAACAGTGCAGTAGCAATAGCCGAAACAGAGAGAACGCAACACGGGTGGCCGAGCAAGTGACATACAGCATAAACAAGACAAACGTACTTTGTACATTCACACACAGTCAACTTCTCTAATAACCACTGCGTGTATAACGACAATTCGCAAATACGACAGAATTTCCATGCTCAGAGCAAAGTGACACACAGCATAAACAAGACAAACGTACGTTGTACATTCACACACTTTTAAAAGTTTGTATACATGTATGTGATTGTATTGATATGCTTTGGTTTTCTTTCCTCAAAGGAGAAGTGACGCGTGTATGGTATATGCATAGACCGTTGAAGTTCGTGTGAATGCATCAGACGCACACATGTACAGGACACTTTGCATTTTTCAAACTGAAACCGTATACATAAGCATGCGTGCGCGTGTGTGTGTGTGTGTGTGTGTGTGTGTGTGTGTTTGTTTGTGTGTGGGGGGGGGGGGGAGGGGTACGTGTACGTGTGAAGAGCAAAAACCAGTACTGATAAATTGATAATGCAGGCCAAGCAGAGAGGAACGCAAAGCAGACAATCACCTCTACATTGTAATCTCCTACAAATAACACATACATGTACATGTAGCTTCATAAGCAGAAAACGAGATATTATTGTGAGCGCGACAGACTCACACACACACACACACACACACACACACACACACACACACACACACACACACACACACACACACACACACACACACACACACACGCGCGCACGCACACACGCGCACACACAAACACCCCCACCCCCACAGACTAGGGTCTGGCGGATTCTGCCGGCAGAAAATTGGCAGAATTCGGTACTTTTTCTGGTAAGTTTCATGCATGTTTGGTATGTGGATAAAGAAATGGAACAGAATTCGAGGAATTGCCCGCCATAAGGTTTGTATGGTTCTGCCAATTTCACTGCTTTTCGAGCAGAATCTGCCTCCCTTTCGAGCAGAATCCACCGGTCCCTACCACAGACACACACCACGAGACCATAAATCTGAAACGGCATGCATTTTGACACACACACGCACACATGCACACACACACACACACACAGTCACACACACAACACACACACACACACACCACGAGACCATACATCTGAAACGGCATGCGTTTCGACAGGCTTTAGAAGGCCACGAGTTAGGTGATCCACATCAAGGCAATACGCACCACCAGCCCAGGTACATGTACCGATATCTCATACTAGACAGCAACTGAACGCGGCACACATACTACACACAAGAGCGCGTACAGCGGCAACTTTCTCCTTATGCTTACGGTTGTCGAATACAGCATTGACGACACACCGAGACACACAGAGGAACACAAACTAGGGTCTACAATGTACACACATACATGTGCATGCACAATGTACATGTATGCACAGCTATGCGTTTGCGTATTTTCATGCTCCCTTCAAAGGTTTATGTACATGTATACGGCATGTATGATTTATGTTGCTTGAGTACGCCCACTTTGAAGGTCGAAGTTGGATTATACAGGGCGTGAACAGGTGAGATTTTTATGTCTAGCTGTTAATTACCCTTACCTTAGCCCACCAAGGAAATCGGAATAATCAAACTCGATGGTGCTCCAACTTCATTTCGACGTAGAAAATTCGCTGTTTGAACATCTCAATTTCAAAGGGTAACCACTGATTTCGATGTGAAAAACGTTTCCTGATCGCCATAAAAAAATTCCTGCCGACACACACCATAACAAGCTCCAAGTTCACAAACAGTGTCCACAAACGGTTGCTCGTCATGAAGGTGGTTCGACACTTTCGACCAAATTCGTTCACTTCCGTATTCAGTTGACAATTATTTTTGCCGTCATCAAGACTTATTTGGGCCCAAAAGCGCAAAAATCAGTGTAAGTCTCGATTAGTGGCAGAGATATGTTTTTTGCACGCTTGAGGATGGACTGATAGCTGGAGTTGCACACTCTTGGGGGTTATGTACTCTTGGTACAACTAGTTCAAGGAGACACGTGTGATGCGTTGACACCGGCCCTGTGCAAAAGTTCTGTCGGGACAGCGAGGTATAGTAGAACCTGGCAAGGCGACCACTCGGACAAGGCGACCACCTGTCCCAGAAGACAACTGCAACCAGGAGCCAAGGACGCTATTTCCAGTCACATGACCCTGGGTAAGGAGACCACCTGGTAACAGAGACCGTGTTTCTAAAGTCCCTTGAGCGGTCGTCTTAGACAGGGTTTTACTGTATGTGGGAGCTGCACACTCTTGGGGTTAGTCACTTACTCTTACGTGGGAAGGCCTCTTTTACGGGCAAAGCGAAGCACAATCATCACCATGTATCAGTTCAGTGAATAGTTAAACCCAACACGAATGAAAAATGAGAAACAGGATAAAATAAAATAAATTGTAAAAGAAAGAAAAAACTATCTCTTACTCTGGTTACTTACCTCAGTTACTGATTTCTCTCTTGCCAGCAGCCACTTTACTCAGTGACCACCCGTTATGAGCCCTCTGGTTTCATTTCACGTTGAGTAGCGATGTCATAGAGCACTGTGTCAAATTGCTACCACCCCGCGTCTTTCTATCCTTTTCTTTTTTTCCTCCTTTTTTCTCCCCGGCTTCTTCATCTTCATATTAAAGCCGTTGACGGAGACTCCCTCGATTTAGGTGGAGAATCCATAAATAGAAAAATACAGAATGCAATGTTGTGTTTTCGGCCAACAGGACACTCCACAGTCTTTCGGCGTTCTCTCTGACACCAGGGATGTTCCTTCAGATGCCCAAGCTCAATTATCTGTAAGTCCCGTGATTCTTGTCGTAGTGTCCTGCTTTTAAATTAAAATTCCCGTCTCGTGTAGAAGCCGGTTTTGAAAAAGAGCCCGAATCTCAAGATCTACTGACGGCACTTAAGCCTGGTTTTGTGTTGACATACATAGATACCGTACTCACTCGATTAGAAGCCTCCGGCTTCAATTTTTTCAATGCCAATTTTGAGGAGGCTCCTATTCAAGAGGGGTTTCTATTTGAGAGGGACTTTTATTTTTTAATTCCCTACTAGCATTCCCATCGAATCTCTAAAACTCTCGTATTCGCAGCAACCCACACAGCCCTTCATATCAATATCCCGCTCTCTGGTATAAGTTTCCTGCATCTATACGATCACTGGAGAAACCAGGTCAATTCCGGACCGCTCTCTTATCCCACCTGAAAATTCACTGACTAAGGGGCCTTCCGTAAATACCGATACAGTCAGACCTCGCTTAACCGCACACATCCGTTTTCCAAAAAAATATCCGGATAGGCGGGGGAACCGGATAACCGAACACCGTTTATGTTGGATGCATCACGATGCTGTAAATATGTAACCAGCTTTTTTCTTCCGGATGGCGAAGGATCCGGATAAACGAGGACCGGATAAGCGAGGTCTGACTGTATTTATTTAGAAATGAAAACTACAGTCCATTCATCGGAAACTGGCCCGCTGGTTTTTGAAAGTCAGATTTGGGCCGAATTGAGGATCAAAAACCCACTTTAAATCTCAAAAATCTGGGTTTTGGATCTGCTTCTCCATACATTTTGCCATGGCATACCTGTCCTAATTTTATTAAACCTGGCTGAATTTCTATTTCCCTGTTCTTGGACTTTTCTGGCCTCGAATGTGGCAAGGAGTAATTGCATGGGTCACACAATGCAGGATGTACTCTTGTTTTCACGATATCTACAACTAGGTGAGAGAGACACCAAAAAGTTAGGGTGCCAGTTTCCAATGAATGGACTGTAGTCGTTTCTCTTCAACCCCCTCCTCCCTCCCTGAGAAATGAACACATACAAATGGTACATAGTATCGATATTTTTGGTCTTTTTTCTGGACATGCTCACACATGCAAAATATACATCGATATTTTTCGAGAAACGAACAGGCGCTCAACCCCCTTCCCCCTAAACGACTAGTTTTCGTTTCTTAATAAATGTCTATATTTACGGATGGCCCCTAACGTTGCTCACTGATCAAAATAGTTATGCAATCTTTCCTCTGCTGTCTTAAATCCTACTCTATTTTTCTTTTTTCTTTTAATCTTTTCCTTTTTCCTTATATTTGTGTGCCTTTGGTCGATCTCATGTAATAAAGCAACACTGCCTGTTTGCTATTCGACATTAAATAAACCAATCCAATCCAAATCCAACCGGCCCTGAGTTAGTTTGCACACACTACGTCGACCAGGACATGTGCCAATATGAACACGCACGAGATGTTTTTTGCGCACTTGACCATCATACATGACACTACCTGGTCACCCCACGCTTTGCGAATAGTAGTCTGGACTTCATTTACGCACTATGTCAGTTTGTGTGGAGATCGTTCATTCCTGTGATACTGCGTAAAGTCGGATTTAAACGAAAATAGAAAAGTGAATCAAGGTATAAGAACGATGGGTCACAGTTGCTGACAAAAAAACAGAGCAGCCAAACCAAGTATGTCCCATCCGCACACCAATCCAAGTTACTTTGTATTGTCCAGTCATTGAATCGGTTACTGGCGACTTGCTGAGCTCTTCGTACGAGTCGACCGATTCATCCTGTCTAATGACGACCCTGGTGCTGTACATGCTGCTGCGTTTGTATCACTCCGTTGTACATGCTGCTGCGTTTGTGTCACTCCGTTGTACATGCTGCTGCGTTTGTGTCAGTCCGTTGTACATGCTGCTGCGTTTGTGTCAGTCCGTTGTACATGCTGCTGCGTTTGTGTCAGTCCGTTGTACATGCTGCTGCGTTTGTGTCAGTCCGTTGTACATGCTGCTGCGTTTGTGTCAGTCCGTTGTACATGCTGCTGCGTTTGTGTCACTCTGTTGTACATGCTGATGCGTTTGTGTCACTCCGTTGTACATGCTGATGCGTTTGTGTCACTCCACTGTGCATGCTGCTGCGTTTGTGTCACTCCGTTGTACATGCTGCTGCGTTTGTGTCACTCCGTTGTGCATGCCGCTGCGTTTGTGTCACTCCGTTGTACATGCTACTGCACTGTCGCACAGGCTGCTGCACCGTCGTAAATGCTGCTCTTTTGCTCCACATGCGTTTTCATCACCCCTTTGTACATGCCCCTGCACCATCTTCTACCCCCCCCCCCTCTCCCCTCCCCCCCCCCCCCCCCCCGCGTCTACGCACTTTGCATAACCCAGACGACAATAACATAGGGCAACAGAGCCAGGAGAAGCGAGGGTCTGTCCTGAAATTCGAGCTCGACCACCGTAGTTTAGTCTCGCCGCGCCTCGCCTCCTCGGCATCTGATCCTCGGCGAGTATTTTAAGCAGTGCGTGCAGCTCTCGGTCTCAACAATTTTTGCCGTTCTCTATGTTTTTTTCTGACTACCTGTTTGCCTGATCCAGGAAGCTGAGGAGAATACCCCTCACACACCTTCCTGCAGATTTGGGATCGCTCAATGAACTCCGCATACTGTAAGTGTGGATTCCTAGGGAAGTAGGAGTGCTTTGTAACTTTTCGTGTCATCGATATTTCGAGTCTGGTGTTTCTACTCCGTCGCATGTATCCCGTACCCAATTTCTTTTTCACAGCTACGTGCGTAGCACTGATCATCGCGTACAGATCACCGGCACCAAGAGTAGATAAACAAGAGTGTGCAACTCGCGGATGAGTTGGCCCACGGCGGAATTTTTTGTTGACGTAATCTTTTCGACGACGCACGCGCTGCGAGCCTTTTGGAGAGGTTTCCCTCGTGCACTTGGCCGGGCTTTACACTACAAGGTCGGTGCCCAGCATGTGCTCTCACACTACTCTGCGGCAAAGTCCGCGTTTCTCTGGAAAAAGGTGACGTCAACAAAAAATTCCGCCGTGGGCGGGGGTATCTGCAGATTGTGCAGGAGAGATCCGGAGTTCCACACTCTTGTTTATCTACTCTTGCCGGCACCCTGCAGATGTGTACTCTTCTACCATACTTTTTTTTATTTTTAAATGCGAGAATACATTTGTAGAACGCGACCGAGTGACAAGGCAAGCTGGTTCAGTCTCTCCGACTCAAAACACGAGTAGTAGTCGCAGGGAAAATAGTATTGCGCGAAAAGACAAACGTAGGCAGCACAGAACTTATAGTATATTGAAAAACTCAAGTGAAGGTAAGACTACTGAAACAACGGAAGTAAAGACTCTGGAACAACTGAGCTGGAAAACTGACAGACGGATCTATATACAGTACGAGATTGCCAGTTACAGATCTGAGGGCTAGCTAGCGATCTCTAAATGAACGCAAGGGACCTAATGGTGCCAGCAATGGATAGTGCAATACATAGTGTAGAAGAAAGTCCGTCTACTACAGCATACCTGATAAGATGCGCTGTAGTGCTCTTTTCCTATGATCCTGGTCAAGTTGTTAAATGTCCCGTGTGGGCTGCACAATGTGCATGCAAGCGGACTGTCCAGAATGCATTGCACTCGACATTCGCCCATTCACTGCTGATCCGCGCACAATTACGTGGTTCTAGATGACGCCGAGGCTCTGAGGCTCCGAGCCCGTACTATTACCGGTAGACTCCCTCTAATTCGAATACTGTATAATTCGAACACTCCGTGTTATTCGAACTTTTTCGTCGTACCGATCTTCTGCAAGTCACTTCAAGTCAAATTCGAATGCATAATTCGAAGTACGAAAAGTGCGCCCGCTGGATAATTCGAACTCTGCCTTCGCACAGAAGAGCAGTTTACAGTACAGTGACTATGTCCTTCGAGCGCTTATTTCGAAGTGAGATGGTGTTGCTCTACTCGTAATTCGAAGTTCATTTTTGTCTGCTTCTCTAGCACAGAGCTGCTCACTACGTAGATCCTGCTGTCACAGGACTATCAGGCAGCAGTCGTCATGTCCAGGGACGTGACACGTGCAATTCCCAAAGTAAATCCACCGCCTGTCTTGAAGTTTTTTTTGCTCTACGGAGCCAAACTTCTCCAACGTAGTAACTTTTCAATGATATCTAGCATGGCATGACCTTAGAAACCGCTCTGCAAAAGTGCTTCTGCTTGAGAATTTTCTAAAGGAAGTTGAGATTGAAGTCTTTGTCCGCCATAGCAATTGTCCAAAATGACCATATCCAGGGCATTACTTGAAGTACATATGTGCAACCTTAACCCCAAACTCAAAATGGCTGTTTCTGTTTGTGTTGGCCCTGTTGCCGCCATTGCTGCTGCTGCTGCTGCTGTTGCTGCTGCTGCTGCTGATCATGCTGCTGTTGCTTCTGTTGCTTCTGTTGCTGCTGTTGCTGCTGTTGCTGCTGTTGCTGCTGTTGCTGCTGTTGCTGCTGTTGTTGCTGTGTTTATGCTGGACCTGTTAATGCTGCTTTTCTTGCTACGGCTGATGCTGCGGCTGGTGTGCCTGCTGCTTTTGGCTGTTGCTGCTGTAATTTCCGGCAACCAGTCTAATAACGGACTGCTCTCTTCAGCACCTACCTGCGGGAATTTTCGACAACATGACGGAACTCGTCCAGTTGTAAGTCTGCGGAGAGATATTGTGCACTTGGAATTACAGTAAAACTTGGCAATGCGGCCACCTGTCCTAGAAGACCACTGAAACCAGCCCCAAGGGATGTTAGTTCCAGTCAAATGACCCTGGATAAGGAGACCACCTGGTGACAGAGGCCACGTTTTGAAGGTCCCTTGAGCAGTCGTCTTAGACAGGTTTTACTGTAGCTACTGGCAGTCCCCTCTCCAGCTGGTACAGTCAGCCTTACAGGCAACGACACTCGCTCTTGCATGAAAAGGGTGTCGTAGTCCGTGAGGTGGGAACGCATGCAGTCAAATGGTAACTAGGCCCGATGGTTGTGCTGCAATTTGAGAGTTGTTGCTATCCCCGGAACTGCTATTCACGGGATTCACTGTAGTCTGTTTGGGTTAAGCAGCTCATGTACGTGCGTTTTTCAGGGATGTCAGAAGGCATTCCAAATTGGTGCGGCGATTAGGATGTGGGGGGGGGGGGGGGGGGGGGGGGAGGGGGGAGACCCCGGAAAATTATTTTTGGCAGAATGGCAAATGGCCCTGATTTTAAATTATTGGCGCGTCCCTGGCCGCACCTGTCTTACCGGTGCCGACGCCCCTGTTTTTGTATCTTGTTTTCTGCAGCACCTCAGCGGAAACAGTTTCACTAGTCTGCCACAGATGATATTTCAGCACCAGAATAAGCTTCTGGACAGGTTGTAAGAGTAGTTGTCAGTACCAGTTTCCAGTGCTATTCGCCCCATGTACCAGGCAGGCACAGTGGGTTGGTCAAAGACCATGATTAAGATACGAGAGGTACCTGGTTCAAGTCCTGCCTGGGAGCGGTTTTTCCAGCCGTGCTGCTACCCACAGTCAACTGGGAACTTGTGGCCAGGCACAAGGGGTACATGGATGCAGCTAATGGGGTCGTTCTCGGCACTTGTGCCAGTGGTTGTGAGACTTATCCACTCACCCCCACCGTTAGGCGCTGCATCTGCCGCTAGGGTTTATCGGGTGTTAGTGGCCGTCCGTGAGTTCCTTCGGGAACGGGACACGATAATTTACTTTACTTACCAGCAATGGGCCATGCACTAGATATTTTGCAGCTGTAGGGCCACAGTGACATGAGTGATCCTGTCCACCCACTTGCACTAGATAGTGCGCAGCCGTAGGACCACAGTGACATTAAGGATCCCGTTCACCGCTTGCATTAGCACCACAAAATATTTCTCCAGCGTCCACACGAAGAGTGTGCGCACAGGTTCCGGAGTTATTGCAAAACTTTGGACAATCTTTCTGTGTATGCTTTTGACTCATTTACTCTCGAAGAGCCTAGGTATTATTGCCTGGTCCTTGCACAACTTCAAAAGATGTCTCGTTGCTGCGGAAACCATGCGTTGTAACCACCTTTTCTTCACCTACTCCCAGCCCCGTGTCATCTCCACCATAAATACAATGGGATGACGATAACTACATTTGAGAAGACTGTATTTATTAGAAGACGACTACGGAAAAACAACTAGATATGAGGAACTTAAGACGAAGACTGCTTTTTACACCACAGGCAAACATGTGCATGCACCGAGAC